ACACTCTGTTTATTAGGAATAAAGCTGCTATGGAGACAAAGCCTTCGTTAATTAGGCTCCATTTCATCTTTCGTTCTGTAATGTAGCATACAGATGTTGTCTTCCTTTTTTTTAATAAAATTAACTATAAAGCACGAAGACAGTCTACTCATAGTAAAGAAGATGCAAAACTGTGATTTCTTTTCTTGAGGTGCTTGAGTGTGAATAATTAAAACAGGAAGCTAAGCTTTTAAAAAGCCACAAATGGCAATAGTATGTATTTTGCAGTAGTGTCTCATAATAGATCTGTGGACATATGGGATTGTGAAGGCCAGATTGAGGACCCTGAGTATCTGGTTGCCCCCTCACATGCAAATGAGAATAGAGGGGGGTTATCTGGAACTTGGTCTCAGGAAGTAAGAACAGGGAGAGAAGCCACAGGGCAGCATTTCTTGGTAAATGAAATCTGAAGCCTGTCAGCTATATTTTAAGGATACAAGACTGGCAGAACAAGGGTGTGGAACAGCTGGATAGAAACTCAAGAATCCAAAGTAAGCTGCTTCAAGTGGAGCCTACAATATGGGAAATAGGCCCTAGGAAAAGCCCTAGCCTCAAAAACCTGTCCACCAGCACCTCTGACAAAGCATCTATGGCTTCCATGTGAGTGGAGACAAAGCTTGGCTCAGCTGCAACAGTGGCTTATGCCAGTTCTTCCCCCATGTTATTGTGTATGTTCATTCCCATATTTATTGGGCAATCACCTGGGGATCTTGTTCAAATGAAGATTCTGATTCCATAGGTCCGATATGTGGTCAGAGATGCAAAATAAGAAATCACAGTTTTGCATTTCTAATAAGACCCAATATTGCAGAATCTACTAGTCCAGGAACCATACTTGGAGTAGCAAGTATCTAATCTACTCTCTCCCCATGCATCCCTTTCTCTGTTCAACACCCGCTGTCTTTCTGTCCCCTGTACCTTAACTCCATCAGTACTCACAATCCATTGATCCTTCTCACTCTTACTGACAACACTCCCTCTAGCTCTTTCCTGCTTACCCAGCTTAGATTACACCATCTCCTCATGATCACTCCTTTGTAACCACCCTTAAGTTCTTTGCTTCTTTCTCTTACTCATTGTACTCACCTGGAAAAACCTGTAGATCCCACTTCCCTCCCCACTCCATGTCCTCACCTCTGCTGGTAAAAGGCTGAGGACAGCACAACCCACTAGGCTAGCCGGTCTCACTTCCAGCCCAGTGGGCCCCAAGGCTGCTGGTCCCCTTGTCCACTCACTCCTGCTCTCTCCCAGAGGATTTCATGCTCTTCTCCAAACCTTAAATGCCCATTTCTCCATCTGCATGTCAGCTGATAACCTTGTTTCCCATTCTTTTTTGTGACATGACTTAGAAAAGAACTTGTTCCATAGCCTCTCCTGGATCTACCCCCATATCTTTGTGTGTGTCATGGGGCCAGGTCCTTTCCTTGGTGTCTCCAGAAGCACTGGGCTTGTTCTGGCTCCATGAGTAGCACTGTCATCCTGGACACATGGCCTGTGTTCCACCATCCCCAACCCCTGGCTCTTCAGGCCTCTGGCCGCCCAGCATTCTCTTAATGATGTCTTTCTGACTCCTCCACTTAACGTAGTCCCACCCGTTGGGAAGCCCCAGCTCCATGCTGGCTTCAGTAGTTTTCTTCAGTGGGTATTACAGTAGGTCTGCAAGACGGTTAGCTTGCCTTCCACCTCTTCTAGAAAGCTCCATGAGTGCTTGGTCAAGAACAAAACCCCACCTAGAATTGTAACTGGCACCAGGAGACACACTCCTGAGGGTATTTAAATAGATATTAGAATGAGAGGTGTGATTATATTAGAATTAGAAAAAGTCAACTGGGGGAAAAATGCACACTAACATATGTATTTAAAAAGAGGTAGTTGAGATTTTGAATAGACAGGGCTAGGAAAGATCCCCGTTTGGGGACGTTTTTGGACTTTCCTATGCTGAATTTAATAGAGATAGTTGAGCATACCAGGCCCTTCAGAGATGAGAAGAGAAAATGACAACATCAGATTTCATCCAAGAATCCCTGTCCCTTGTCTCAGTAAATACACTCAGAGACACCTCTAGTTTAAGCCAGGATTTAACCAACCCATGCTGTACTGGACTCCAGAGCACGGTTATGGTCCCCTAGGACCCTGGCAAAGAACTGTAACCAGTTAGCATTTCATAGCGATTCCATAAGCAAAATATCCCTGATTTGTTGTGATTTTAGGAGAAGAGATATTTCAGCCACTCCTCCGACTCCATGAATGAAAACTCCATTATGATAACAATCACGGTGGCTTTTAGTTGGTGGTGAAATAGCCTAATCTGGACATTTGCCATGACAACCTGTGGTGCTGGTCTGTCTTGAGGACAAGAAGTTGGGTGTTGTCTGCTGAAGATGAAGCAAAGGTGTACCGGTGTCTCTGTGAAGTTCTAGCAGATTTATTTTTAGTTCATTCTCAAGAGTTCTGCATTTCGTAGCATCCTCAGCATACCCTAACTCATTGCCTCTCAAGGTTTTGAGCAAACTCTCTTTTCAGGGGGAGACACAGGGTTTTTGTGAATATTAAATAAAATGGCTGAACTCACGTGGGGCTGAGAACACAGTAGGCGCTCAATGCACGTACCACCCTGTCCCATTTGTGCCCTTTCTAATGGGCCCCACCCATACTGTCTGTCAGTATAATATGGAAATTAAGATATAAATATTGTGTTTTAATACACTATTATTCATTTTAGACTAGTGATTTGCTTAACATGGGGGTGATTTTGCCCCTCAGGACATTTGTCAAAGTCTGCAGACATTTTTGGTTGTCACAGCTTATTACTCCCTCGAAACAAAAATTATCCAGCCACAAATACAAGCAGGGCAGTGGTCAAAAATCTGTGTTTTAGAGCATAAACTTTACACTGCTTACAGTTTATTTCTTCACTAGATTCTAAAGGAGAGTATTAAGTAGGATGTGACAGACGAGGGACATAGTTGGGACAAGAGGTTGAGAAAAACCCCAGGCCCCTCTTGCCAGCTACAAGATCTACCCACTCATTAAAAGCACACTACAGTTTCTCACTTAAAAACCTTATTATATATTCATTTTTTATTAGTTATTTGATTTCTTTTTTTAAATTTTTAAATTCTAATTTGTTACATATGGCAGCAGAATGCATTACAATTCATATTACACATATGGAGCACAATTTTTCATATCCTTGGATGTGATTTTTTTTTTATTTAAAAAAATACCAATGTGGCAGAGGCTGAGGATCTCAGGGTAGGGAGGACGAGGAGACTGAGAGAGGACAGACAGCAGGTGCCACAGGTAGACAGGAAAGCTGCCAGGGTGCTTGGTTTTTATCCCCGGGGCTTTACATATGGGTCCTCCAGAAGAAAGATATCACATTCTTTTCTGTACTGGGTTCACAACCTAGATATAGTTCTGTTATTACATGTGTGTCCCTATTTATAATGGGGTCTCCCAAATGGAGCCTTATCATCATTACCTTTGCATGCCTGTGTACATAGTGTGAAAGAAGGTTTGTCAATGTTCACGAAACAGCTTTAGCTGTACTCTAAACACCACTAGCAGCGTCTCACAGCTGTTACTGCTCGACTTTTGAACAGGTGCCATTCTGATGAAGTAGTTTAGAGCTTGCAGTTTACCTTCCTGGCTTGATAAATGATGAGTTTTTTTCCTAAAGGCTGGTGTGGAAGCCTTCCAGAACCCACAGTGTCACTGAGCTGCAATGCTGAGCTATTCAGGTGGGAATTTTCCCAGCAAAAGGCCAAGAGCAGAGAATTTCCCCTGCCCTTTGCTGCTGCAGGCAGCCTTTTGCAAAAGCAAACTTGACTTCTTTCTTGCCTCTCCTGGGTGCACCGTCTCACCTTCTGCCTCTCAGTCAGTGACTACATCCAAGGGCTCTTGGCCCTCAGGGGTAGAGTGTGTGACTGTTAGGCTTTGGGAGCTCCTGTCTTGCTGATCACCAGATTCTGACTTGAGTAGCTCACAAGGGCCACCGGCCTCGCTTGTCATCCACTGTACTGCTTCTCTGTGGTCATCTAGCATTGCTTTCCCTGTCATTTCTTTCTAAGAGATAGCTCTTTGTTTTCCCTTTTTAAACATTGCCAGAAAAAGAAGGGGGTCAGAAAAGCAGGAATGGGGAGAGACATTGGTTTACCTCAGTGGCCGTCCCTTCTCAGAAATTTCACCCCAGACGCTGGGTTGCTCGCTCCTTCACTCTCCATGCTGGTTACTTCTCCAAGGCACATCGATGATGGCTTCAGAGCCACAGTTGTGTAAAAGCAGAATTTTAGATTCAAGATTACATTCCCAAACTTGAATCGCACCTACTCTTGGAAGAAGTGATCTTTATAAGTGATATAATTTTATTTTTAAGCACAAGGAACCATGTTAGAAATACAGTATATTTCAAGACGAAGGCGTAGGATAATGTGGCTAGATCTGTTCTAACCATCACCTCCTGGTTCTGTGCCAGTTTGTCGCACCCTGTCTTTTCTGACAAGGCCATCATCCTCCTAGGCATGCAGCCATTTCTTTTTTGTTGGCTTCCATAATTCCTTACACATCTCGAGGCATCCACATGTGAGGTCTGTGGTTGCAGCCCTGACAACTCATGGTGACTATCAGAATCTAAGAAAGAGGTAGAAGGGGACAATGAGAAGACGAAGCATCTGCATAATTAATGACCACATGTTTGAACACCTTTGTTTTTACACTCTTACATACATAAAATGTAGAATACTACATATGTCTGCATATTTTAAGAGCAAGTTTTAACTTTTGCCTTTGAACACTTTTCTTATATAGTATTAAAATATTAAAGGTTACAGTTGTCAATTGTTTTCTTTATTACCCCAAAACTTAAATAAGTAAATGAAAAGATAATTATCTTATTAGCTTTTGCAGGTTTAATCCAGTATAGAATTTTGAAATTGTTTCCTTTTATGTTTCCTCTCCAGAATGCAAGAAGTCCTTCTCTTATTTCAACAGTTGCGCACAACTTTGGAGCTGGGAAAGGGTGATTTCAAGGTACTAATTTATCTACGTTATTGTCTGAACTATTGATTATCCAAGTTGGCTTCTGGCTTAACTTTGTGAACAGGCATCAGTTGTTTATTTGGGGACTGAGTTGTGTGTCTGCAGATATAGCTTCCAAGCTGAAAAACCTCAAGGCGTGAGCTAGTCCATTTTGAGTTTAACACCATAAATCTTCTGCCACAGAGACATCAACAGGTGAGATTCCTACAACATGATCTTTTTCTTGTGATCGGTGATAGGCACAACCCTGGCTCCACTTTGTAATGCTTCTGTGAAGGTGGACGAATGTGTACCCTCTCTCAATCTCTTCCCTTATCTTTGAGATAGAATGATAATTGGTAGTCTCATGGGCACAATGGGAAGGTTAGTAGAATACCTAGTACCTTCACCACCACCACCATCATCAAAAAAAAATATCACACTGTGTTCATTGTTATCATTATTAGCATCAAAAATTCCTTAATGACCTTGGGGCCATCTTCTGTTAATAATATCGAACTCAGGAAAAAAAAATCATCCAACCCAAATGAGTGATGATCCAAAGGCATTCTATCTTTAATTTTAGCAATTAGTTTACTATAGGGTCATCAATTTTTGTAATGAATTCTGGACTTTGAAGTGCCATGCCCACCCCATTTAAAAGATTTAGAAACCTCCAGTGCTGTGGCCCGATTGACCCACACCCATTATACATCATTATCCAATTCCTTTATGGCCTAGAGAGGAAGGGGTCCATCTGGTCTGAATTTCCCCATCTCTTCACAGAAGGAACCTTGTAAAATAGGCCACTGTCTTCATTAAACCTTTCCTTTAACTTGGTGAGAAATTCTTTCTCATGCCAGAGTAACCCTTTCCCCTCAGGGGAGCAGGGAGCTAGTTCGGGGTCATTTTGGTCTCTCTCTGAGGCCTGGATCGTTCTAAATATAACCACAGATCCTGGAAGACAGCCTGCCTTTTGTTAGTTAACTTAGGCTCAAGAATCAGTGCATTAAGAGCTTTGATTATCCACACTCCACAAGGCCTTCCTCTGATCTTCAGACGTTTGACAAGAATTGTTTTTCTCTGTTGCACTTCTGTTTCTATGAGAGCTGCTTGCCTTGCACATTTTAGTGGTGGCCTGAAGTGCAGAGTATTTTTCAGTTAGAAGGTAATTAAGACCTACCTTGAGAATCTATATATTTTAGAATATATATCCCATGCCTCAGGACTGGGCTCATTGTCCTCCTGGGTTTCTGGTACCTGCCTGACAGTTTCACTAGAAAGATATTCTTCTACCTTTTTTTTTTTTCCTTTATTTAACCTGTCTTTCCACTTTGCTCTCTGCTATGTCATACTCTTGTCCCCAACATTCTGGCTAGCTTTATTTAGGTGTACCAAGTAGCTCTCAAAACTAATAAACTAGAAAGAACAAATAAAATTTAAAAAAAAAGAACAAAAAACTAATAGGTCTACAATGAAAGCGTCTTCCCCCGCCTCCCTCACTCATCCTGTGCTTGCAACTGATTGCCTTTCCTGGAATCAATACTTCAATTAATGGCATCCCTGTTGACCCAGTAACTCAAGCCAGAAATCTCGGTCCTGTCATTGCCTCATCCCCCTCATTCAGCCCACACCAGATTCTTGATCTAAGATAATATATGAAAGTTTTGAGACCAAGGACTGGCGCTTGGTGAGGTCAGATACTCATTGCCGGCTCTTACAAATGTTCATTGTAAGTATCTTTCTGACCTTCCCCTTCTCTGCCTCCCACTGGCCAGGGCTTTCGTTCTGATCCTCATTACCTCTTCACAGATCAGTGCCTGGAGCTAACTATTGTAGCTCTCTTCCAACAGACGGTCCCATTCTGTAGACCCTGTTCCCAAATTTATAACACAGTGTCCCTCTCAATGACTTCTGTAGGCCTTTATAACCTCGGCTCCAGCCTCCCTGATATGGATCTCTGCCCACACTCCAGCACTGTGCCTGCCTTCCCCTGCTTTCTGGCCTCTGCTTCATTAGTACCGATTTTCTTGGGGTATTCCAACATATCATGCCCCATCAGGCACACGTGACTTTTTCAGGATAAATTTAATACTTCTCTCCAGACCTACCTGTTTCCATCTTGTCCAAGAGGCCCTCCCTGATTCCTCCAGGTATAGCTGGACTCCCGCAGTCCCTCAGTTCTGTCTCTAATCATACTGCATTATGGTCATCTACTTATGTATCTGACCCTCCTATTGGTGCAAAACTTCAAGGCAAAGTTCAGACCTTATTTATGTACTACAACTTCTCATAAATGCCTGGCACATAGTCACAAGCAGAGAATGCTCTAATTTCTTTAAATGAATGTATCTCTAACACTGTAATAAGAAAAAAGAAGGTATTCATGCTAAGTAATTGATCTCAAGCTGTGCTTTTTTTCTGACTGCATATAAGCACTTTTTCTCAACAATCAGACTCTCCTTTTTTTTTTTTCCTTTTAATATCCATGTGTTAAAGAAGAGCCCCCAACACCAAGACAGGGTCCCTTTCCCTCTTCTGCTGGTATCAATACCAATGTGGTGGAGACATCTTTTTAGTACTTGAAACTCTTTATCATGTCCATCTTGGAAGTTGATTCAGGCAGTAGCTTCTCCAGCTACTTTTGTGATGTTTTAATGTGGAATTCAAAATTTAAAGTGTCCCAAACCATTTTTTGGCTTCTAACCTGCCTATGCATTGGATGTGCAATTCAGATTTCCAGTGTTGTCCTTCCTAGTTATTAGAAAGACAAGCAATGAAAACACAGTATCACTCACTGTCCAGTGAGACTGAAGTTCCTAACCCAAATCAACAAATAAGTGTGTTTCTCGAGAGGCCACAGTTAGCACAATTAGCCATGAACCACATCTTTGAGAAGCTAAGGGAAAAGAATGGGATTCATTTTTAATTCAGACTGATGTTGAACAAGAGCCAGGCTTTCTGGAGTGGCTTTGTAATCAAAGGTTACCACAGGACATGTCAGAACTTTTAACAACTGTCTCCACTGTAAAAATTGGCTTAGGTTGTGAGGTGATTGTCTCACGTTTGATCTTCGGCTCACAAAGATGAAGTTAATTTCAGCATAAGCTATTGGCTTTATTTTTGAAATCAGTCCATTTTAATGGCAACTTGCTTGTGCCCTGTGGAACACACAAGAACAAGAAGAAGAGTTGGTCTGGAATACACGTGTTCTGATATACATCATAGCTGTCTCCAGGGTGACAGTCAATAAGATACCTGTGATGAGTCTTGTTCATCTTTTTGTTGTTTTTTTTCTATCCTTTCCTACATTCATTGTATTCTAAATGATAAGAACCACTTACCTATTCACTTCAGATAGTTGAAAAATACAAAACTTCACCAGAGAAAAGAAGTCTCTTTCTGAATCCATCACCCAGAGAGAACCATGGTCAGCAGCTTGGTTGACACTAGCCTTCTAAAATTTCTACCAAACATACATGTGCACATTTAAAAATTCCTGTAATGAACAATTTCACAGGGAGGATTGTATTGTGACTCCTCGTGTACTCACGAGCTAGGTTCACAGATGATCAAGATTTGCCACCATGGTTTCATTCATGTATCCTTTTTTTTCTCTTTTTCTTTCCTTTTTTTTTTTAAATAGCAGGTATCTACTTTTAAAAAGAAAAGGATCCTGACAGGACTGTGGAACAATTTTTTGCCTGCCTACTTCACATACTGTCACTTTTGTGTGTGTGTGTGTGTGTGTGTGTGTGTGTGAGAGAGAGAGAGAGAGAGAGAGAGAGAGAGAGAGAGAGAGAGAGAGAGAGAGAGAGAGAGA